ATAGCTGCCCGCTCTCATTGCTGGAAAAAGTAACTTAAAAACTTACCAATTAGCAAAGGATGTGCAAGAAGATGCCACAATTCTATCGGTATGCTTTGAGTTTTGCTGTCTTAATACTTCTTTGGGCTGTTTGAATTCTCTGCCCATTTTACTGGATAATGTTTGTTTAGTCTGTTCTGTTTTAGTGAACCCGTGGCCTGTACTATGAAGGGAGTTCATCCTATTCAGAGTTAACTACGATGGTGGATAAGATGTTAGTTAGTTGAGTCGGTGTTAACTTAATTGGAGTTGGTGTGCGTTCACATAAAAGGGGTGTGTTCATAAGGGCAGGCAGAGTTTTTTTTGCAATGGCGCATGCTCTGTATTTTCCCCAGTAGAATGCACGTTGATAGTGTCAGGATATGAGGAGACACGTTCGCATGCATTGCATTGAGTAAATTTGTAATTATCTTCACAGTGTTCTTATTGTAGGTGTTCTTATTTCGGATTTAACAGTGAGGAAATATCGTGAGTTTAGCCCAAAGTCACTATAGGCTACTATCATGCACCTTAGAGACTTTTCCATGATTTGGGTGTATTCAGAAGAAAATTTGATTTGAATTTTTTGTGACTTTAATTTCACGGAATTTTTGTTCTTGTAAATGTACCCCTTTCATCTTGGATTATATTTCTCGGTTTATTAACCCCCACTCTGGCTCCGTAGGAATACTTTTTGAACACGTAACCTAATTATGCGTCAATGTAGTCAATCTAAATATGTGAAAACAGTTAGGATAATTCAGTTATAGCATACAGATGGGCTACATCTCAGAAACTGTCCCGTTATATAGCCTAATATTTCCTCCCTAAAATCACAGAGGCGGCAGTACTTTCTTTGTGAACGTAGGCTACTGCTGTTGTGTTAAGAATAACATTATTTCTGCGGCAACAGCAGTGGAACAAATCAGGATGAAATCTAAACATATTTTATCTAGTGGTGTATAATAAAAGCCTACTTCTCATCATTAACACTGAGTACAGATGTGGTGTGTAGTCCATGTATACAGGGTAAACTCGAGTTAACCACGAACATAAACTGCTTGGAGCAGTTTAGATATGCAGCATAAATTGCCATGGCAACAGACCTCGGTTAACACCTATCCACCTTTCGTTGTCACAAAGTTCTCCTGAAGTTACCTAGATAAGTAAGTTACCTCGCTTCGTAGTACAGGCCACTGGTCTGCTCTGTCTGTGGCTTCTGGATCAGCGTGCTTGTCCTGTCTTATTATGTAATGGCCTGTGATGGGTGTTTGTCACATGTTTGTTTTGATTTTGGTCTACATGTCAGCTGTGCCCATTTGCTTGTCTGTTCCCTCTGTATTTTGATAACAGTCTTTTCAAGTGTATGTCTTGAGTTTGTTTCTTTCTGTTTTCTGGTTTGTCTGTGAGTGCTCCATCAGTTTGATCTTTGTCTCAGCATCTTGTCCTGTTTTAAGTTTGAATTTGTCTGTGTCTAGCTTTGCTTTGTGTGGCCTGTACAATGAAGGGAGTTCTATGGAACATCCAAAGTGACAGAACTGAATGAAAGAATAAATAAATAAATAAATGGGGGAATAAATGCAAGAAAGAATGAATGAATAAAAGAATAAATAAATAAATGCGGAAATATATCAAAGAAAGAATGAATGAATAAAAGAATAAATACATACATTTGCTTTTGCCTTTCCCCAAGGAGACCTATTGTCATTGCTTTTCCCTTAGAGACCTATGTGTATTGCTTTTTCCTTCCTCTTCCTTAATTGTCAATCAACGTGTTGTGGCCCGCCCACTAAGTCAGGTCGAGCAGCCGATGACTGATACCATCTTCAGTGTGGATATGCTGTCCCTGGAAGAGTGTTATGATTGGTAGAAAGTTTAGAAGAAGTTATGCTGCGTTCAAGACCAGTCGGAACTGGGATATTTCCCAGTTGAAACTTCCGACTTCCAGGTGCATGGTGGTGCATGACACCGAAAGTGAACGAAAACCATGGCTAACTGTGACAACGTGTACACACAGTTGCACCTTCAGCAGTGTTTTAGGTGTTAATTAAAAGGATGGCAGTTTAACTGCAACAACTTAATATAACTTAAATATAAATAGCCTATAGTTACTAGTTAAAGGTTCAGTGTATAATACTGTATATCTGAGGATCTATTGACAGAAATGCAATATAATATCCATAACTATGTTTTCAGAGGTGTATAAAGACCTTGCATAATGAACCCTTATGTTTTTATTACCTTAGAATGAGCTATTTATATCTACACACACGAGGCACCCCCTGCTGTGGAGGTCGACATATTGGGTCATCATGTTTCTACCGTAGCCTATAGCGAACACAGCAAACAGAGCGCGTTTCGTCACTACCTTGAAAGAGAAGCAACAGAAGAAGTAACAGCAGAAGAAGTAGGAGCAAGAGCAAGAAGAAGTTGTACGTTTCTAACTACTAGGTAGTAGTAGAAGCTCTCCTTTATTAGTAGTGGAATTTTGGACAAATGGAGGACGACAGCTATTATTTAGCACAAGAGCCGACGGAGGGTGAATCTGCTTCGAAGAAGCGAAAGCATGATGAAGCCAGACTTATACGGGAGTGACGCAGGCAGAAATCATGGGTAAATATCAGTGGCTTTTCCCAGATGGAAGTGTCTAAATGAGGGAAAAACGTTTTCAAAGCGACGCCGAAGTTGCCAGTTTTCTGATGGACAGGTAAGGTATTCCAACTTTAGCATTGCAAATGAAAACTGTTGATTGATAATGTTAGCATTAGCCAGAAGCTAGCCATAGACACCGTGAGAAGTGACTTTTCCCTTGTCAGTGGTGTAAAATATGTAGTTGGATAGTTTCACGTGGTTCTTCTCCCTCGCTGTGTTATGACTTCGCTATGTGGATAAATGTGCTGGTTACGTTCGTGAGACAATCAGCTGATTAGTATTATTGACCGCAAAACAGCAAGTTAGCGTACAGCATAACAGCTCATATTAGCCAGCTAAACTTTTACTATCCTGTTAGAAGAAATATGTAACGTTAGTTGGATTGTTATTTCGAAGGTTGTTCTCCAGCGCTTCGGCTTTGTTAAGTGAACAGAAATGTGTCTTTTGTGTTTGTGAGACAATCAGCTGATGATTACAATTAAAAACCGTAACATTGCATGGAGCATGGTGGCTCAGATTAGCAAGCTAAATGTTTACTGCCCTGGGGGGAAACATTTATTTTTACTGCTAACAGCATTACGACAACACTGTGTGCTTATCAAGTGACTAATTATGCTTATTGTCAGAATTTACATTAGAAACAACGTATTTGTTTGTATTGCTTCTACGGTGCATACAAAGGTTACCACAAGCTCAAATTATGGCACTCAGTACTTATTTGTGTTATATTATATTGTAGAGCACCCTTGATCCTCATCTGACTATGGCTTTGTAAACTTACCCATGATGTGGTTTATAATGGACTGTGGTACAGAAACAGTGACATTTTACACACTCTTGGCTTATGTTTTCCATGTTGTCTGTCGGTGATCATACTTGCACTAGATGTGATAGTTTTTGGGATGTTCAATTTATTAGGCAAGATGAGCAAACCCTACAAAGATGTAACACATTGTGGATTACAGTACAGTAATGTATTACAGTCATGTAGCACTTCATTTATTGAGGCTGCTGCTGTTTCTCCAGCTACGAGACAGGTCCTGCTACATCAACTCCCTTGACCAAAAGTCATGCATAACAATATATTAATTTTGTCCTAATAGCTTTGATTAAAAACATGAACTTTATGATTAGTGTGTTATTTTATTTTTGGTCTATATATACTGTTGAATGAGCCTATGTGGGATTCACACAACTTGCTCTGGTTATTCTTTACAGAGATGAGCATCTTGATGTCATTCCAGAAGCCACAGAAATTCAGGGCCTTGAACAAAGGTAACATGTACACATCATAACTTTTAGCCCTGTATTGCTTTTCTCCAATTGTAGCATTGTTGTGGAGGACTTGGAGGAAAATGTTTTCAATGACCCAATGAACAGTGTGTAAATAGTACTTCCTAATTACATGTATTATTTTTCAGTGACATTATTTGAGAACTTGTTTTTATCCGAAAGTTGTCATTATGTAAAGAATTGATTGGGCAGATAAAGCTTCATCTTACTCCCTTGAAAGAGATGATGGACAGAATGGTTTCAGCTCTGATGAAGAGGATCTTCCACCGATTTCTATACAGTGTGTTATTTGTCAGTCTCAATTTGCAATTGTTTTGTGGTGTTTGTTTCCGGGGCGGCTGTGGCTCAGGAGGTAGAGCGGGTTGGCCGTTAATCGGCGGTTCAATCCCTGGCTCCCTGGCAAGATGCTGAACCCCGAATTGCCCCTGGCGGCTATTCCGCCAGTGTATGAGTGAGTGTGAATGTTAGTTTCCGTTTGAGCACTTAGGCTCAGTGTATGAATGTGTATGACTGGTGAATGCAGATGTAGTGTAAAAGCGCTTTGAGTGGTCGAAAAGACCACACTTTCACCTCTACACACAGACTATAGTTGAATGCCTGTATTTTACAGTAATATTTATTTTTCTCTTTTCAAGGCAGCAAAGATAAAAGGAGAGTCCATCCTCTTCAACTGGCTGAAGGACATAGTCAACCATTTTCGGTGGTGTTGCAAGACTGCCGACTGTCACGCTCTGCCGGTCGGCCATTCTTTCTGTTGCACTTCTGAGTTTAGTATCTGCCTTATAGTATGTTGGGTTTTGGGGGTCTGTCTTGTCTGTCGTCTAGTGTTCGGTAACCCTTGTCATGTCTGTTACCCCAGTGATCCCTCTGCATGTCTGTCTCTGTTTTCTGACCACCTGCTCTCTTTCTCCCTGCCTGTGCCTCGTTAGCCTCATGTCTTTCACCTGTGTTGCTCCCGCCCTGCTCGTTAGTCCCTGTGTATATATATATATACCTGGTGTTTTCTGTCTTGTCTTTGTTGGGTCATTGTATGCTGTCTCCTGTTGTCTGCCTGCTCCCTTTGGATCGCTGTTTGGACTACCTTAGTTTTTGGACTCTGTATTCAGCCACTTACCTGTAAGTGTGCTTTTGGTTTGTTCATTAAAACCCTTTGTACTGTACCTCCTCCAGCCTTGCGTCCTGTGTTTGGGTCATCCAACCTGCCTCACCCACACCAAACCGTGACACCGGCACACGTGGGCAGTTTCTTGTAAGCACACAATTTTATTATATTTTTGAGTAATTTCATTAATTGCTATATTAAGGACATTTATAGTGCATTTTTATGTTTTGCATGCATTATGGGTTGGCATCCTTCACTATGTCTGCAACATTCACACCTGGACTATGGGAAGTTGCAAACACAGGCACCTTGAATCGGATCAAATGCAGGGAAAGATGTGGATCAAGAGAGACTCCCAGTGCCACAAAGCTTTAGTGGACATAGTTCTCGATAAGAGGTGGCAGATGTTCACAACTATCTGCGATTCAGGTAGTGTGACTATACTTTTTCACACTGATGTATAAGTAATATTTATGCTTACTGCTCATGTACACAGAAGTATGTATTTGTTTGTTCTATCAGATCGACTGCAGACCTAGAGTCATTCCAGAATCATATCCTGATGTATGCCAGCAAGCGCTATGCTTTCAGCCCCTCAGTTTATGTGACTTATGTGACAAGACTTCTGCTTGCTGCTTTGGACTACAATTTCCACCGGAACCGACCAACAATGAAAACGTTGGACGGCAAAGATGTACGTTTTACACTTGTATAATAATCCCATTCATAGTACAATATTCAGGCCATGTTTTATATGCAATTGATTGTCTTTACACAAGGTTTTCTTGTTCTACTTACAAACTGATATTAAATGGTTATAATGTCAGTTTCAAAAGATTGTATAAGAACGGTAGATACAGCGTACATGTCTTGAAATCTGAAAAAACCTACGATACACTTCAGAGTTGCAAAGGATTGTGGAGTGGGGATGCCTAGAAGGAGGAGCCTTCTCCCACATGACCCCAGACAGCTTGGTTTGGTGCCCCCCATACCTGCACCAGCCACAGCAGACTTGCTGCAGAGAAAAGTCAGAGGTCTAGGTAAGTTACACAAATTTGTTGTACCATATTACATGTCACTGAATGATATTTACATTACAATATAGTCTGTAACTATGTCTGATGGCACTGTCTTCAACAGGACCGTTATTCCAACCAGCATCTGATGTGGAAGGATCCCCACATCAGATGAAAATAGATCACATTGCATGTGTCCTGGTACTTGTCAGGCAGGATCACGAGGGGAAGAACTTCCGTTCACTGACTCCTCAAAAAGAGAAATTAACATTAAATTCTGTTCCTACCCTCCTCCAGTGGTTATTTCATGTTTTTCCAATTTGTACATGTTTCATCTTAAGTCCACTGTGACCAGTGCATATTTTCAGTAGGTAGCCTAAATCAGTTTACAGTTTGAACAGTAATGATAAGTAAGGCTACAGCTGTCCCCTATTATGTAAATATAAAGAACTAAAATTGGTATTGGAAATGTTATGGCAAAGTTTGAAATTCTAAACACATGTTCAGATGTATATAATGAAAATAAAAACACCATGTGCTTCTATTTCTTATTTTTTCGTTACCATAGAACTGCAGGTGAACAACTATAACTACATCAAATTTAAAGGATGATGATAATAAATCAAATGTTAACTATGTACATTTGTTTGTTTGAGTATTTGTGTGAAACTGTATGACCATGCCAGAGGGCCTGGAAGGAAATTCAGTCCAGGAATAAAACCTGTGTAGTGTCCTTGAGGATCAGGGAACTTGTCTCTAATCCTTCAAACACAACAACTAGGGATGACAAGTTGGTTTCCCTGGCCTAAAGCTCCATGTTGCCAATAGATGAAGTGTGTGTGTATAGGCACCATAGCAGTACTCCCTGTTGTCATCCCCAGATGTTGCCTAATGCCGTAATGTCCTCCCGGTACTGCCTGTGAATGCGAATAAAGCCTTCAAGGCAGTACTGGGAGAAGTGTGGCAGTAGGCTCACACAGTTTGCTTGCTCCTGGCCACAGCATTTCCCTACAGTTACCATAAGTACACCAAGGTACTCCTGGCACTCCGGCAGAAGGTGGGGCACCATGTCTGGGCTGATGCATCATCAAGGCATCAAAGACCAAGCCTGGCTGCCTCTCCAGCAGAAGGGTGGAGAGCTCTCTGTGTTCTTCAAGGGTCATCTCTTGAAGTCTGAAGAAAGAGGACACAGGGAAAAATACTCAATATGCAATATTCTCTGCTTCAATACTCTGGTTACTGTCTCAATGTTTTTAAGATTGTATCCATTCCAAATGAAATATACCGGTACTCATTACTATTATTTAATGCACTACTATTTATCATTACACTTCTGTTGATGCTGTAAATTACTTTACATGTCCACATTACCTTTATTTAGATTTTATAATTTTTATATTTAATTGACATGCAAGCTTAGCAATTGTGACCAAGAATTTCCCCTTAATTCCCCTCAATAAAGAATTTGTGATTCTGATAAAATAAGGCTTTATGACATGATGTTGGCTACATGGTACTGCATATTAGGGTTTACAGGCTGGCCAGTGTTTGCTCAACTTGTATAATATGGCTTCATGTAATCATTGTTGCCCAGTAAATGACATTTTACTACTATCTAACATTACAGTACCAGGGGTACATGTGCACAGAGCTGCTATGTAAATAACATTATCACTGTGTGCTGGGGTTTGTCATAAAGTGCAAACAGGTCAGAATATAACGTTACAACAACCTTATACTGTAAATACAAACCTCTGTAACAGCCCTCAGGTTCCTTTGGAGGGCTTCCAATCTTTCTTTGTCCTCTATTGAGCCATCACTCTAGGTAGGTCCTCTGCCTCTCCTTACCATGACTGCACATCCAACACCTCTGCCTCTCCGCCCTCTTCCTCTCCCTCTCTCTCTTACAGTTATCTCCGGTAAATGGACTTCTGCATTTAGATCACATTGACATGTGCTGGTTCTGTCTAACATTAGCTGCTGCTGCTGCTTCTTCTTCTTCTTCTTCTTCTTCTTCCTCCTTGTGCTTTTATTGTCAGTTGGCAAACAACGAATTGGTGCGTTACCGCCACCAACTGGTATGGAGTGTGTATCAAACCTTTATACATCTCTGATCATGGAGAGAAATACTTCTGTGAGTGATTAGTTGGACTTAGTGGGCGGGCCACAACACGTTGATTGACAGTTAAGGAAGAGGAAGGAAAAAGCAATACACATAGGTCTCTAAGGGAAAAGCAATGACAATAGGTCTCCTTGGGGAAAGGCAAATGTATGTATTTATTCTTTTATTCATTCATTCTTTCTTGCATTTATTTCCCCATTTATTTATTTATTCTTTCATTCAGTTCTGTCACTTTGGATGTTCCATAGAGGTCAACCTACTCAGAGTTAACTCGGGGTTATCAGGCAAACTCAGGGTTGACAAACTCTGGCCTAAAAGGGGTGCAGTTTTTTAGCAACAGCACATGCTCCGTATTTCTCCAGAGGAACGCACATTTATAGTGTCAGGAAATGATGAATGTAAAGACAAGTTAACAGCTAAATCTAATATCTTGGCGGATGACAAAGCCAGGGAGGCTTGTTGGCATCGCATCGAGTATATTTGTAGCCTAATTATCTTCACAGTGTTCTTATTGTAGTTTAAATCTCTATTATGCATTTTATGGGTTCTTCTTTTATGTGTAAAATAATTAAGGTACAACTGCACATAAGGTCCATTGTAATAAAAAAAAGGAGCCAGCGGAAAGGGGTAATAATCTGAGAGAAAATTTAATTTCCAAGATTAATCTACATGTAAAAAAACTTAAATATTCTCTGACATTATAGTCACACATTTGAGAGAAACTTCACTTTGCAAGGCTGCAACATCACACACACATCTCTGCCGTGTAGTAGGCCCTGTGCATACATTGGAAAATTATATTAAACTTTGCAATCAGATTTAGCAGTGAGGGAATACTTGTGAGTTTCTCCCACAATAACTATCATGCACCTTAGAGATTTTGCCGTGGATTGGGCCTACTCACACCAGAGTGATTTTCGATTTTTTTGTGAAATTAATTTTTGTTTCTTGGTTTTTTAACACCTCACCCTGACTCCCTATTTTTTGAACAGGTAAAACAGTCTATCTAAATATGTGAACACTTAGGAGAATTCAATTATAGACTACAGATGGGCTACATCTAAGAAACTATCCCGTTAATTTATTAAGATTTCCTCTCTAAAATTCAGCATTATGGTTAGCATTCATTTGAGGTTCATTTGTTTAACTCAAAACTGCACACCCACACATTATCTGTGTTAAATCAAAGAGCCAGACTCCCACTTCACCCCCCACCCATCGCTTCAGTGTAAAAACTAGACATTGCAACAGTTTAGTTCCCAATGTGATCACTTCCTCTAAGAACATGATCACCAATGATCATAGCTGAGTTTAAAACACCCTCTTTTAAGATTTCTGCCCACACAGTTTGAAGCTTACTGAGTCATGTGATTTCTGGCAGCATTGTCCCACTGCTCTGGTCTAAAACTCTGAAACAGATGATCTGAAAAAAAAAAAAAATTAAAGCCTCGGCCCAAAATCAGTTCAGGTGTCTTGAGTTGATTTGTAGTACAGCACAATTCTAGGTTATTTGCTCACATCTAGCCATTATTGTTTCTGACATTTATATCCTTATTTTCACTAAAGCCTGCTACAACTGCTTGGTCTAAATAGCTGACATAAAAAAGCATTACATTTTAATGTGTTGTTTTACAAAGAGACAATAATAAAACTGGTCAACAAAATGAAAAGCAATCAGCAGGATTCTTACCTGTCGTGATCAGTCAACAATGCATTCCTATAAAATAAATTCATAAAGTCTAATTGGATTTCAGGGAAGGTTAAATTAATAAAGATACTCCCATCTATGCAAAGCTAGATGGAAATCTGAGATTTGTGCGTGTGTGCGTCTGTGCAGAGAGGAATGTGCGTGATGAATAATTTTTAATCCGCATTTCACTGTCTTTGGTGTGTGATATCTTAAGTGGTGAAGGAAAATTAAAATTCATTTAGAGATAGTAATATTATGCTGTAGAGCCAATTGGATTTGAAAGTCATTTGGGTGTGTTTATGACTGGAGGATGATGTCATTGGATGGAATGTGGAGAATAATCTTGCAGTATCACTATTTAGCAAATCTTGTTCAAATACTGTACCTCACTTAGGCTTTAACCTTATTTCTCGCTACACAGCACCGGTGGAGTTCAATCTGATCTTTTTGTAATATGATAATGTGGATATCAGAAAATTGGCTTTCCTGGACATTGTGGCTTAAGATTTGGGTAATCCGATGTAGAAGACTATTTCAGATACAGGAGGACTAAAGGAAGAGTAAAGGAAGTAAAATCTCAAAAGAACCAGGTTTCAGGGAAGACCAGATTAAAATGGAAGGAAGGCTTAAATCTCCGCACAAAATCCCACTTCCCTTCTTCATTTAAAGATGTTACTGGCAGTGGTGGTTCTAGACCAGGGGTGTCAAACTAATTTTCACCAAGGGCCACATAAGCATTACAGTTACCCTCAAAGGGCCAGTTGCAACTGTAAGACTGTATAAACGTAACTACTCCTTAACATATTGTTAATTAACTGTCTCATTATTTGATTATGTATTCAAGTTAGCCCTGCGATGGACTGGCAACCTGTCCAGGGTGTACCCCGCCTTGCGCCCGATGTCAGCTGGGATTGGCTCCAGCCCCCTGCGACCCTGTACGCAGGATAAGCGGTTGACGATGGATGGATGGTATTCAAGTTAAGGACATTTATCGGTGTAAAAATATAGACTTGAGTAAGAAAATTTCTCTGCGTTATTATAACATAAATAAATAAGTAAATAAATTTATCAGATTTAAAAACCCTCATTATCCATCAATCAAAGATCAAACATTTCAAGTAAATAACAAAGACAAATATCATCAAACATAAGCTTTTCCAGTAAATTTTCACTTTTTCACAGTCAGAGGTGCAGAACCATGGTAAAACATAATTGTGAGCTGCTAATAACAGATGTTGCATTTGATAAAACAAACAGTCCAGCTGCACACAGCCTTGCAGAAGGCATACATCCAACGAATGAGAGATAGTTTGATTAAATGGAAAAATGCAGACGTATAGGCTACTGTAGCCAAAGCCTAGTTCACACTACACGATTTTAGCCCGATTTGCCACTCGGCGACTGTCGGGCTGTGATCAGGAGTAAATCAGCGGTTGATCTGCAGTTGCCAGTCGTTGTGTGTGAACTACTCAACAATGCGTCAAAACGGCTCCCCGAGACATTTCTGACACATGCCAAATATCTGGAAGAGTCAGCCGACTCGACATCCACATCCAGCCAATGAAACCAGGCAGCTGGCAGAGCGGGCAGCTACTTTTTCACTGCAAAACACTTTTTACTCACCTCCAGCTCTCTCTGTAGCTCAGACAAGCCCTGCTACCTGGGTGTGCTAATCCATCCTTTCACCCAAATTCTTTGTCTTTATAATTGCTGTCTTTATAATAACAAATAA